AGGGCCGAGCCAGCTGCTCACCCTCACCATCCACACCCTCTGCCAGGAAGGCAGCTGAGAACGACCCCGTGGCCTGAGAGGTGGCCGAGTCTGTAAGAAGATGAACTTGACTTCCAAATCTAAAACTACCTTTATTTGTGGTCGGCTCAACATAAGATGCCATCATCAATCAGCAGAATTATAAAACTGTACAGGAGGTACAAAAATAGGCCGTTTCACTTATATAATTACCCTCACATCATGGAGCTTTAAAAATACACATAGAAATTGTACAATCTGGCAGTTTATAAAATATAAAGCTAAAAAGGAGGATTTTAGGCTCCACAAAGAGGATTGTATCACACAATTAACACACATTTAACAGTAAACCATCCACAGAGAAGACACAATGGCACAGAATTTTTTAAAAAATCACTCAAAAATTTACACGTTTACCACGACCAAATTATTCACCCTTTACTAAGAAAACTACTGTAAGGCGTCCATCCCGTGGAAGGATACAGTATAACTTTTCCTTTTCCAGTTTTAAAATGATCAGGGGTGTTGTCCAAAACAAATCTTATGTGCTTTAAGCAAGTGCAATTATAACTGGATATACTTCAGAGTAAAAATTAAATAAATATAAATAGGTTAAATAAATAGGTCACTGCAAAAAGAACACTACATAAGGTTTGCATCTGAGAATGCGGCAGAGTTGACTGGTAATGCTTTGTAGGTAAGTGGGGACACCCCCATCACAGCTTTTGGGACACAGAAAAGGAATGCTGCACCCACCAAACACTGAAGAGCTCGGGGGAGGCAAGGGGGCAGGGACTTTGGCTGGAGTTGTTGGTTAAGGCTGCTCCAGCGGGAGGCTCACTGCGGATGGTTCTTTGTGGTTTTCCAATGAAGAGAGACGAGATTTAATTGCTGCTCCAAAAGCCAGAACCACAGTAACTCACGGGAAATCACTGTTTCATCAAGTACAGAAGAGTAGGCCCTTTGGTTTAAAAGATAATGGTCCAACCCTGGGAGGTGGAAATTTGGCTCATCCGTAAGAGACACCTGATGATTTCCTTCCAGGAAAAGGCCGATGCCAGGTCATACGCATCTAAACAACTCCAGGCGGTGAAGGGATGACCGGGGGGGAAAGAAATGCTGGGAGATATGAAGAAAAAGGATTTCCAAAACCGAATGAGTAGAGAGAAAGCAAAAGAGGATTTAAAGGGGCTCTTTACAGGGGTGCTGGGCTTTCTCTTGCAGGTCTTCCTAGCCCACCTCCACAAGGACTGCAAGGCTGAGGATCCAATCCAGAGACGGGGGATGGGAACAGTCCTGGGAAATCCAAAGCTGGCCAGAGTTCAGCTTCTGAAAAGATAGCAGCCAGAAGGAGAAAGCCCTGCAACCCAAAGGCCCCCACATTGGCGAGAGGTCAGATCAGCAACCAAATCATCTCGTAATGCAGGGAGACAGAAGTGCAAAGATAAATGAGTCACGTCCACATAAAACCTTACTGGAAGGATCAGGGTTAATGCTGATAAGGACCTTTTTTGATGGGAAGAAAATACTTTTCTGGACCCACTAACGTGGATCTTCCAATATAATACATGTAATGGGTCAGTGACATCTCACTGGAAAGAACTTACGGTGACTATTGCACTGAGGCTGGGGGAGGGGAGGACACCTTTGCACCCAGGATTTTATACCTTGGCAACTAGACGGTTTAGTGACTTCTCAAATAACACCAGTGATTCCCAAAAGTGCAAATGCTCTGGTGCCTAGTGACATGTGGAGTCTTTATAAGATGAAATTAAAAAGACACAAGAAGCAACAAGGGAAATTCTGGCAGGTGTCCCAAAGACAGATTCAATACAAGGTTCAACACAAGATTTGAAGAAATTGTAGTGTCCTCGGGATTCCTAGAAGATGCAACTAAATTCTGTTGTAAAAATGAAGACCAAGTATTTCTAAAAAGCTCCGCAGCCTTCTAGGAATCATACTCAAGGTCAAAGAGCTCAGGTGCACAACAGGAAACCCCAATTCTAGAGACTGGAATGAGATCTACCAGAGGATGTCCCAGGTGTTTTCAGGACAAGTTCCCAGGTAAGGCCTCTTCCAACCACCAGAAGGACTGGTGAGTGCCTGGGCCCTACAGGCGACAAAGAGATGGACAGAAAGCAACCTGGCTAGTTTGGGTGGGTCCTGGGACACGGCCGGCTTGAAGACTGAAAAGATGCAAACCCCTTCCCCGCCCCCTGGGCTTCTTCACAGCACTAATATTTCTTTATTGTTGTCTTCACAACAGGCTCTTATGAAAGCAGGGCTTTTAACTATCTCGTCCACCTCTCTGTCCCTAGCACCCAGCGCCCCAGTATATGGTGAATAAATGAGTTTGAGCAAGTTGGGTGGTTAGAAACAAATAAGCAGAAAAGGCATTTTAAAAAAGTTTTCCTGCAGGCAAGTTGAGCCAAAACAGAGAGATGACAAGTACTGGGCAGCTAGACATGACCTGACTACTCCCCGGAGAGGGCCTTCAGCAGCGCCGAGCGTCCTGGAAGTCACTCGTGCCACCCTCTCCACCTGTCTCTCGGGCTAGCCCCACTCGGGCCTGGTGGCAAAGTGACGTGCAGAATGGGGCCGGCACAGGCCAATCAGAGCAGGAAAAGAAACCCGTCTGGCTGTGTTCGTGAAAAATGGGAGGTGCGGTAGACCCCACGATGCCAACCAGAGACGCCAGGGCTCCACGGTCTGAATGAGGTAACTGGTGAGGTTTAAAGATGTAGGAGAATATTAATTTAAGAGAAAAGGTGATTTTAGGCATGACGACAGGAGGAACAGCAGTCTACAAAGGCAGAACGAGAGGTCTGGATGCGTGGCCTCCACGCGGGAAAACGTCGCACAGTGAGAAACAGTGATTCCTCTGTCAGTCGGGGCAACTCGACGCAACATCCGCACTCCCAGCGGAGGCCCGGGCCCGCGGGGCTGGAGAAAGCCCAGAGAACGCGTCCGCACGCGGTGCCCGGCTGCACCTAACCTCTAACGCTCTCGGTAGAGAAGACAGGAATTCTTGACTGAAACGAAAACTAACAATTACATTAAATTCCCGGGGAAAATAACGCGGTATTGACATAATTTAGGGAATATGACTTTGAGGTTGGTTAAGAGGCGCGTATAGTGATGTAACGTTGTGCTTTCATCGGCATTGGCGAGTGCTCCGAACACGAACACTCTTCCCGCGAGGGAGGGGGTCTTCCGTACCACACAGAACAGATGTACTGCCTTTCTTCACGAGTGAGCTTCCAGTTAAGTTTGGCTCGCTTGTGCTAATGTAGCTACAGTATGATCAAAATATAAACTTATTAAAATCTGCCAAGAGAAACAAAATCCTGCCCACAAAGTACATGGTGACCCTGGCCTTGGCTCCCAAGCCCTCGGCCAATCCCGCTGGCTCCAGGGACAGAGGCTCCATCGCTTATCCTCTGGCCCAGGGCTCTCCCGGGGTGGCCACTGTGGCTTGTTAGGCCTGCTCCCCTCAGATCCCGAAGGCCTGACCCTGCCTGTGTCCTTCACAGCCAGGGAATTACCACTTCTTGCCCCAAATGCTCCTAAACATCCCTAAATGGTCCAGGGCACAAAGCCACCAAAAGCCACCATTTGGGCCACCAGTACACGGGGCCGCAGCTGCCTCGGGACAGACTGTCCTCTTCATTCCTGAGACCTTCGTAGACACATCCTCAATTTCCAGAGTTTACCGCTGACCTGTCCCAACACCATGCTCCATGCTCAAGGCCCTGCTGCCCCCAGGGAAACACTGGTCACAGTGACCTGGGGTATCTGGGCGCACTTGTGATTGGGGATCAGTGATCTCTGTCTCCAGGGATGACACCCTCTGAATGTCCTCCTCCTCGGCAGCACCCTCACCTCGCGAGCCCCATCTCTAGCAGTGGCTGCACTTAGTGCCCCTCAGCCTGCTGGTCGAGAAGAGAGATGCTCCTGGGCCCGGCGCGCAGGCAGAACTTAGTGCTTCTTCCTCTCTCTCCCTTAAAGGCTCACAGGCTGACATCAGACAGGAAGTTTAAAAAGAAACCTAAGTCTGAAGTGAGTTTATCCAGGAGGTGGGGGGCGCCCCTGCTGCTGCCTCTGGGGCGGACCCTTCTCTGCAGACGTTCCCTGACGGTGAAGCTTTCACAGCCACCATCTTCCCAGCTTCCTGCAGGTCAGGAGGGGTCACCTCGCCCCCTTCCCGGGGTCTGCACCCTCCTCTGCTGGCTGCAGAGCAGGCCGCTCAAGGCACTGGGTGTGGGAGCCTGGTCTCCCCGCTTGGCGGGAGGGCTGCGGGCTCTGGCTTGCGGACATCAGGCCCTCAGTCACAGCTGGGGCCACCGGAACGGAGGCCGCCTGGCTCAGAGGGCCTCTGCAGTCACGGGGGGCTGAGGCTCCGGGGGCGGGTGGAAGTAGTAGGGCTGGAAGAGCCTCTCGTGGCTGCACAGCTCCATGGCCCGGTAGGTGTGAGAGAGGAGGTGGGGGAAGCGCGACGTGAAGTAGCGCACGAAGTCGTCGGGGAGGGAGCCCAGGGTCTCCCGCACCTCCACGGGCAGCTCCCGGTAGTGGTGCTTCTGCAAACAGGACAGACACACAGACACAGGTTGTCAGAGAGCTCATGAAATGCTGGAAAGAGATCCTTTTGTTACTTAAGGAAGAGCGAATGTTAGCTGGCTCTGCAGAGAAAAGGAGAAAGGTTTGAAGAGGCCCTAGAGCCATCCTGCTCGCCCCACCTCCTTCCCCTCATTTGGGAGGTGGCCTTGGAGCTCAGCGAGGCCCAGCGTGGGGAGGGGCCGGTCAGGTCTCCTGTGACATCAAGACCTAGCAAGGCTCCTGGCAGCCTCAAGCAGATTAAAATCGCCTGGAACTGAAGTGTCTGTCCCAATGGGCTTGGAGGCCTCTTCTGGGCCTGGGCCCTGTGTGAAGGCTGCGCTGTGACAGCCCAGGCCAAGAGCACCCCCAGTTCCCTCCAAGAGAACAAGTGGAGCCTCTGCCCCGGGCCTTGGAGACAGGCCCATGTGGGAAGGTGTCCAGAGGATCCTGTTAGGGGGTTTATACGGTTGGCACTGGATCAGGAGGCAGAGGGCACCATACAGGTCAGCAGAGACCACACAGGATGCAGGCACCAGAAAGCCTCCTTCCCAGGTAACTGCTCACCTCAATGTCCCTGAAGACAAAGCCCATATAAGGGAAGAAAGTCTCTAGTTTGTCAAGTCTGGCTAAGGCAACCCAGCCTTTTTAAGGTCAGAATCCAGGATGGTGAAAGGACTCGTAGAGAATGGATGAGAGGAGGAGGGTGGCTATGTGGCTGGGTTCACAGCCCTCACCTTATTTCGCATGGCTCGGAGGAGATCTCTGACGGAGCCACCTTTATAGGTTCTGAATTTACGCAGATCTAGGAAAAAACAAGGAATGCAATGCAACAAACACATTTCGCAAGAAAATAAATCCTGGGGCTCCTGGGGATTAAGTGATCAGACTGAAACAACTATACACTCATCGTGGAGGGGAGCACACACTCCCCAGGCTGAACCCTGGGGCCGTGCTGGTCTGAGTCTCACCTTCTGATCACACCATTACCAGAGAGAAACACCACCCACCACTGACTTGTCACTCAGAGACAAAAATAAAACACACTGGTGGAGTGGTCTGACTTCATCCTAACCAGATGAAACACCCATAGAGAGCCTCCATACAGTACATAGTGCCTGGAGCCTAAACAGCCTGGAGTTGCCATTTCCATCTGCTTCTTAGAAACGGCTGCAGCTTTGGGAACATTTGTGGCAACATTTACTCCCAGGGGCTTCCGTGTGGTCACCTGTCTGCAGGGGGACAGTGATGTTCTCCCTCCAGTCCATCTTCACCACAGCTCTCCCGCCTCTCTCCAGCTGCTTCACGATCGGGCCGTCCAGGGACTCCTTTTCTATTCGGTCACTCACATCCTATGAGGGAGACAAGGGTGGTCAGTGTGGAGAGAAGCTGAGCGCTGGAGGACCAACACCAAGTAAGAGCAGTCACTGCTACACAAGTCTTGAGCCTGGGCTGAAGTCTGCCTCAGAGAAGGACAGCAAGAGTTCTACCTTTGCCCCCAATCCGTTAACTTCTCCCCTGTGAGCAGCCAGGTCTGTTGCTCACTGCAGAGGCCCACACAGACGTCTCCATGACAGAGAGATGACACAGACGCACACCTGTCCAGATCCTGAGCACTTCACCTGCATTTTCCACCAGGGAAGACCCTGAGAGACACATCACCTTCCCTAAAGCCACCCGGCAATACCACGAGGCCTTAACACAGCCAAACCACGTTAATATCCACTGATCCCATGATTTAACTTTTCAGAATCTATCTTAAGATCTGGGCAAAGATTGAGTACAAGATGATAGAAGAAAATCTATGAAACTTGAATGAAATTATAGGACTTCTGAGATTTGCTTCAAAATAACCTGGGGTGGGGAGGGGTGGAGAGAGGGCAGAGGCTGAGTTAATAATTGTTGGAACTGGCTGACGGCTAACTGGTAGTTCATCACTGTTTTCCCTCCACTTTTGTGTGCATTTGAAAGTTCCCATAATATAAAGTTTCAAAATTATGGCACATCCACATGATAGAATACAATAGTCGTTAAAATTTTAGATCTTCAACATGGAAAAATACTTACAATATATACAGAAGAAAAAAAAAAGAAAGAAAAAAGCAAGATACAAAACTGTATATATAGTTTGATCCTAATCACAATTTTATTTTATGAAGAAAATATTTTTAAAATGTCAGGCCTGGTTACCTCTTGCTAAGGGACCATGGATCATTTTTTAATTCTCTGTCCTTGCTATCTTTTCAAAATCTGGAGAAAGTTAAATGGAGAGTCTGGCTAAAGAGAACAAATGTATCGACCTGAAAGAACTGGAGCTGCTTCTCCAGGCTCCAGAAGAACGGGTGTTTCAGCACGTGCTTCGCCGACGGGCGCTTCTGAGGGTCCATTGCGATCATCTTCTCTATTAGCTCCCGGGCGACGACGTCTTCTATGGGGGAGGACAATAAACACGCAACGCATGATCACCAGCCCGAGGCCGCGGTAAACTGCCCCGGCCTTAACCATCCGCATGCCCTTGGACTCGAGACTCCAACAGGAATGCATTCCAGCAACATAATTAAGAGCTTGCGCAAAAATCTTCAGCTGATAAGGACAGTCCTCACCACAGTTGGTGGAAAGGACTGGAAATACCCACTATCAGAGGCTCGGGTGACTGCCACGCCTCCATATCCTGAAATGGGGCCATTAGCACAACGCTCTGTCTCAATACAAATCGACACGGAGAGATAGTCAAGGTGAAGCTAAAAAACGAGCATGTTGCAACATAGTATGTACCTTTAACCCCATTTTAAATAAAAACATGCACACATGTCTAGACAGATGACCAGAATCATACATATAAAGATGTCATTCATCACTGTGTAATGGAATTATGGGCCTTAAACTAATGTGTTTATCTACAGGGAATAAGGAAAATTAATCCATAAGCAAAACAGTATGTTAGTTTTAATTTTTAAAAGTTAATTAAAAAACAACTGGGGTGTCATGGGCGAATTAAACGCAGAAAACCTTGAAGTGAGGAAGAAAGACTTGTTGCACCCAGGCCTGGAGAGCGAGGACCAACCTTGCCTGTCCCCAGCCCAGTCTGCACCCACTGACCACTGCTGCGGACAAGAGACGGTCCAGTCTATGAAGCACAGACTATGTGTCTTCCTGAATGTTGGTGCAGGAAGGATCTCAGATTATTTACCCTTCACAAGTCACAGCTGGGAACACAGGTCCCCAAAGGGGGTCCTGCCCAGGTCACATGGGTAACTGGGTGACTCGAAGGAAACTCAGAGCTTCCTGGCTTCAGAAGGGGGTGCTCCAAGAATAGCTCCTGGCAGCACAGGTGAGCAGCAGACAGAAGGACCCCTGGGAACACAGAGCTGTCACCATCCTGCCCCCACCCACCCCGCTGCCTGCTCACCGTGCTTCTCGGGGTGTAAGCAGTCGAGGCTGTAGGCGCCCAGGAGGATGTTGGCCTGTCGCTGCAGGGACTTGCCGAAAGGGTGGCTGCCCTCAGAAATCACGTAGTAAAACACGCAGCCCGCAGAGAAGATGTCCACTGTGTAGGTCTGAAAAGAAGCGCAGGTGTGAGAGGCCTTCTGGGGAACCCTCCTTCTGACCCAGCAGCAGAGAGGCCTGTAGCTGCTACTTCCTCCACGCTGACGGTGTCGTGGGAGGACCAGCGAACATTTGGGAATTGCCCAGAGCAGTGCTGGGCACCCTGCAGGTGCCGCACAAACTCGTTCTGTGTCTGTGGGGGAAACGGCCTTAGGCAAATGTGCGGGTGTGATTTCCAGCTCGCGCTACTTGGACGTAACACTAGGGGGCTCCCGAGCACAGCTCGGGGCCCTGCTGCTATCAGGCTCCACCACTTAGATCTCCAGCGGAAACCTGAGGATCCAGTGAGAGCGCGCCAGGAGCTCGTCACCTTCCACACGAGAAAACATGCCGGCACCAACGCTATACTGTCACTCATCCTCAAAACAGCCCGTGAGGGGAGCACAGCAAATGTCACCATCCCCAGATAAAGACATGGACAGAACGGTTCAATGACGAGCCCAGGGTCACTGCTGGATAGTGACACCCAGGACAAGACTCAGGTCTTCTAATTACCAAGCCCAACCATCCTTACTCTAACACATCAGAATTTTCCTTATGTGGGTGACAGATTCGGGACAGGAAGAACAAGTCCACGACAGTTGAAGCTTTCACTTGTCGCTTCACCTACTCATGGGTGTATCATTAAGGCCCCCGTTTTCCCCAGCCCGCGCTGCCTGACGTCCCCAGTACACTTACACTGACGCTGGAGGGCTCTTGTCTTATACACCTGGGTCCCTCTGCTCCCGAAAGCGCATCTCTATGCTCTGTTATATTCTTTCCCAAACTTATTATGCCACTTGTTCTTATAATTTAAATATTCCATAAGCTGTTAAAATACGACTGCCACCAAGTTGCAGGTGAGTTGAATCTTTGCAAAATTTGACAAAAGGACTGGCTACAAAACTCCTATGAATTAGATGTGGGAGACTCAATCAACTGTAAGGGACAGGGACATAAATAGTTGAAAATTAGGATTCTGCTCTAAGGAATATTTGGAAAGTCTAAGTCTCAACCTAGAAGGAACAGAAGTGGCATGTGAGTGCACTTCACACAAGAGAGGAAACGGACAACACCATTCAGCTGGGCCCAAATTTGAAGAAAAAATCTTGACCTACATCAAAGATTTCTATTACTTAACAAGTCACAGTACTTGTCTTAAGCTAAAATGTTTAAAGTGTGATGTATTTTCCTCACGACTCTTCATTGTAACAGAATTCTTTGATTAACTGACCAGCGGCCGGTCCCCGTGAACTGGGTAAGAGGCTCTCTGACTGTAACCTATTTTAGGCTGGCTGCTCCCATCCGGGCCTGGACCAGGGAGGTGCGGGGTAAGGTGCCGAAACACGAATGGGCTCTTAGCAAACGCACGAAGACACCGGCATGAAGGGCCCCCACTGGCCCAACCTTGAGTGTCAAAAGGAGAAATGAAAAGAAAAAGGGAAGAAGAAAGGACTATAATGGATTAAACACTATTTTAAAAATCCATGAATTCATAGTAACTTTAAAAAAAGAAGAAAACAGAGAGAAAGGGGATAAAAAACAAAGCTTTTCTTGACAGAAAAATGTCAGGTAACGAAAGAACTCCCCACTGAGGTGAGTGATTCCAGGAAGGGCTGCCCGTCGGGTAACGCTGCACCCGATGCTGCGCTGTCGGGTAATGGCTGTTGGCGGAAAGGACATCCACACTGTGCCCAAGCATTACGCCACATGGAACTAGTGACACAGGGAAAGTGGACTTCACGGTGGGAAGTGGCCGCCACCTGCGCCAGGTGAGCTAAGTTGGCATCACTAGCAGGGGTCCAATAGTAATGGCACAACCTGCCACCTCGTGCCTCCCGATGCTGTCCTGTGACTGCGCTGCCCAAAACACTGAACTTTAATCCAATCGATCCTTTAGACCTTTTAGTTCACAGGAAATACAAGGAATAGACAGGCCAGTTGAACACCGTCACGAGGAAATGAGTGAGCAAGTCCCACAAGGGGCACTCTACAGACAGCTGCCCGCGGCCCTCGGACAGTCACTACCACGGAACAAAAAGGTCGGAGGACCGAAGGAGAGCAAGGAGAGGTAACCAAATGCAATGCAAGGCACCTGACTGGACCCGGTTTACAAAACCCAGCTCTGTAAAAAACACAGGAACTCTGACTGTAGATTGAACTTAGGCACCAAATGCTGACTGTTGAGGTGTGAGAATGGTAAAAGGTCAGGAAGTAGACTGGACTTGTTCTTGGGGACACATGGTAGGGTATTTAAGGGTGAAGGACTGGGGTGCCCTCCTCTTATATTCCAATGGTCCAGAGACAAAAATAAAGTGAAAAATATTAACAAATGTTGAATCTGGGCAGAGGCACAGAGGTATTCACTGACATAGACTTTCAATTTTCTGTACGTCTAAAAATTCTAAAACAGAAAGTTGGGAGAATAAAAACGGGGAAAAAGAATAAAAGCTGGAAGTTTGTTCACCTTATGCAAGTTCTGAGTTGCCAAAATCGGGGGGAAAGTGACTGGGAAAGGGGAGGAAAAAGAACAGACACACGCCCCCATTTGCCCCCTTGGTTCATCTGGCTGTGAGACAATATGCAAGGGCCAGCAGCGTGCTCTCTGCTGAGCAAATGTCACTCCAGCCACCTGTGCTCCAGCCCCACGTCTTGGAGCCAAAGGCTCTAACTCCTGAAGATACAAGAGGCTGAGGTTTTCGAAGGACTGTGCTCATTACTCACGGGGTTCTCCTTGCAGTCTTCGCTCAGCATCTCTGGGGCGATCCAGCCTTCCGTGCCCGGCACCCCTGAACGGCGGCTGAAGCTGTGCCTGCCCACTGCCAGCTTCTTGCAGAGGCCGAAGTCGGAGATCATGGCCTTGATCCTGCCGTGTGCATTGGGCATGGAGAGGAGGATGTTGTGGGGCTTCAGGTCTCTGTGAACTACACAGATCTCGGGATTAGTACAATGTTAACCACGGGCAACATCAGGCCTCCTTCTGCGATGCGAGTGCACCCTCCTCAGGCTCCCACCAGACCTGCCACCTCTGAAGGTTTGCAACTACATAAGGTTCCTCCTCAAACTCTTATACAATCTGCACACCAGTGATGCAGCAAAGAGCTTCAGCAGAGCCAAGGCCCACAGGGGCAGCTGCGGCCTTGGAAAGGGAAGCCTCTCACCAATGTTGAGGGAGTGCAGGTGGGCCAGGCCGGAGGTGGTCTGCTGCAGCAGGGTGATGGGCTCCAGGCCGAGGTGGGCGAAGTCCTTCTGTTCCACGTACTGCAAGAGACACAATGGCTACACCATGGCTCACAGCCTCAGGACGTGGCCCTCAATGCATTCTGTCTCTTTTTTAAAAACTGATACAAATTTATTTAGAAAAATCCTGCCTCCAGCTTTTTAACATTTGGTATTGAGTCAGCTCACTTTCTTTGATCAAATTTTAAGAAAGAAATCAGAAGTCTTACTGACAATAGTCTGTGTCCAAATCCTAATTTTCCAGCAGACTTCTTCCTGAAGTCACAGGCTAATTTAAACAAACCAGCCCAGCTCCAACTTGCTGGTTTAGATAAGCGGGAAAGATAAGAAGGTAAAAAACTCAAGTTAGCTGCCTAATACAGGTAAACCTACAAGTGAATGATCCTGGAGTAGCTTCACGGTGAGTTGGAAACTGAGCAAAAGGAGTTCACTGGATGATTCTAGAGACTCGAGTCCTCAAGAAGCATCCTCCAAGCCCACACCAGCCCTGGGAGAAGGACCAGCCCAGTACTCCAGAGGCCAAGAGAGACAGGTGCTACCACAACCAAAGACTGTCCAGGCAGGCTGAGGGACCATCCAGTTAAAGTTGGGATGATAAAAATGCTCTACGTTTTGACTGGTTAAATGGGTATGCAGCTTTGTCAAAATGCATCAAACTATGTTTAAAATGAGTACATTATATTTGGCAGTCCCTGAAACCATGCCCAGCTGCCTAGAGAAGGGAGGTGGCAGTGGGGTGGCAAAGCTGCTTGGACCGCGGGCACCCACCTCCTGCAGAGTGGCGGCGCACAGCTCGATGGCGATGTACTGGAACTGCCGGTCCCTCTCCGTGCAGAAGTAACGGATCACGTTCGGGTGCTCGTCAGATTCTCGCAGCAGCTGGACCTCGCGGTCGGCGAAACTGAAGCACTCGGGAAGGATCCTCTTAACTGCTACGTCGCGGTTGTCGAACATGCCCCTGCAGGACAAGGAGTGGGGCCAGGTTGGGAGGTGCCATAGGGCTGTGGAGATGATAGGAGACCCGTGGACCCACAATGCTCCCTCTCCTCTGACGCAGCAGCCACTCATCAGCCTCACAGCCCCCGAGGCCCCAACCACCCACCAGGCAGCCCTGTGGTCATCACCTCTCCCTGGAGGCGGGACTCTTCCGTCTGAGTCACGGCTATGACCCTGCTGTGCCCTGGAGCCTGGCATGATGCCTGCAAGCCGACGGGCACCCCCGCCTGACATGGTGAAGGCACAGGGCTCTCCAATCCACTCACCGGTACACAATTGTGCCCTCCGCTCCATGGCCTAGAACGTCCCTGGGACAGAATGAAATTTTCCCAATCATCACCATGCTGGTCTCCTCATCTAGGACAAAACAGGAAAAAGGGGTTGTGTCAAACAAACAGCTTAAATAACTGTGCAGTCAGGATGGCTACCAGCTTCCTGAGCAAAGATCAGGACGTGGCATTTCAGAGGCTCTATGCCCCAGGCCCCTGGCAGGCGAGAGCTGCTGGGCCCACTCCTCATTCGTGCCCAGGACCACCTCCTCCCCCTGTCCCCTGCCCCCTAGTTCTGCCTCTGCATTGCTGTGAGAGTGTCTTATACTTTCCCAAAGACAGGGGCTCTCTATAGATCCACCTCAAAGATTAGCACCTGAGCCACTCGGGCAGCAACGGCAGGTGTGTGAAAGGGAGAGACCTGCTGCAGCCTCCCGCCTGAGACTCAGGACTCTGAGGCCTCTTATCCTGACACCCAGCCTGGGCCAGCCTCCCAGGGGAAAGGTGCACTTTCTTCCTTGGCCCCTGGCTGGCCTCGGAAATGCGCTCAAGCCAGGTGGCCGGTGCACCCCTGGTCAGTAGTGATCCCCAGCCTTTGAGGGACAAGATGGAAGGAGGGCCAAGGGGGCCCCAGAAGGCCCTGTGAGGGGGAGAGGCCACGGGGCGGGACAGAACCCGTTCCCAGAGTGGAGGGAGTCAGGTGAGAACACGACAGCGCTTCATGAGCCCAAGGACACTCCCAGGCGGCCGTGGTGCTGTCCCTCGGGTGAGAGTCAAGGGCAACTCGCTTTACCCTCATCGTCCTGCTCCGGGAAGGGGCTGGTGCCGGCCCTGGAGGCAGAGCTGCTGGAGTGCAGCGAGTGGTTGGAGGCTCTGGGGGACGTGCTGGGGCTGCTGGCGCCCGAGCTCTCCGAGTACAGGCCGGAAGAGTCCAGGAGCTCGGCGTCCTGAGCCACGTCTCCAGGTGCGTGGAAGGGCAGCTGCTGCTGCTGCAGGCGCTGGATTTTCTCCAGTTCCTTCTGGAACTGCTGGTGCTGGAGCTGCTGCTGCTGATGCATGCTCTGGGAAGAGAACACACATCCAGACGAGTGAGGCTTGTCCCTGGGACACCTGTGGCAGGAAGGGGAGGCTCCCTGTGCCAGAGAAGCAGGTGAGCTTTACAGGAACCCACGGGGTAGGAGAGACCAGCGGGAAGGCACAGGAGGCAGGATCCCTTTAATGGCTGGAGGTCTTTTGCCTGTTAGGCTTCCCAGGACAGCCCATTTTCCCTACTGGAGGCTGAATGGCCACCAGGCAGGGGCAACAGAAAAGGGACTTTTAGGGAAGTCTGGAAGTTCTTACAAACGTGAAACGAAACAAGAAGTATGGTTGAGAATGTGGTGGACACGGGGGAAACTGGCTTGCTGGGACTCTGGCCATGCACTTGACAGGGGGTAGTGCACAGACTGTCAGCAATCCAGAGGCAGAGGAGGTAGCTGGAGCTCGGAGCCTGACAGCCATCGGCCCTCAGCCACACAGACTGGGTGCGGCAGAAGGGGGCTGAGACACGGGCCTGCCAAGCTCCCGCTTCCCCCACTTCCCCGTCACCACGCTGCCTTCCTCACCTCTCTCATTCTGAAAGTTCATTCCGGCACAATCTGAAGCAGAGCGGCCTGTGATAATTACTACCCAGGCTTGGGAAGGGGACTGAAGGGATGAGTAGTATCCAACAACCCACTGGGAGTTTCCAGTGCTCTCTCTTTCCCTCTCTTTTTCTTAACCTTGGGCTGAAATTCTGGAAATGCCATCTACTGCCTGAGCAACCTTGGGAAAACTATTTAACTTCCCAGAGTCTAGCTTCTTCACTGTGGGCATCGAATAAATAATAATGACTTCATAGGATTGTGTGAGATAAAAAATTAAAACAATGTAGGTGACCCCACTTAAACAAATGGAAAGCACCCCAAAGTAAAGGGTTTATCATGCCCTTTCCTATAAATGAGCTTCCCAAGCACTGTTATCTAAGGTGATAACATTTCAGGGCTCTGAGAACCTGATGAAGGAATATCTCTCTAGCATATTTTATCCAACACATGACCTACGCGACTACGTGATTTTAGCTCATGTATTTCCAACTAGAAAGTGGAAGGGATTACCACACTGCCTTTTTCACTCATGCTGGTATCTCTAACAGTCACTTTTTAAGGAAAGAAAGTTAAACATATTTTCACCTATTATGGCTATTATTTAAAAAAGAAAGTATCATTAATGATTCCAGAGGAGCTGTAAGCAAGGTTTACAAATCAGTTTGTACAATCAGTTAAACTGTAAGACGGAGGTACAGAGTCATCTTTTTTTGGGAAGCTGGTGTCTCCCTAATTACAATGTTTTGAAGATTAGTAAATATTAACTTTGAAACATGAAAGGAAACATATTTGATTGATGTTCTTGCCCGGAATTCACTGACATCAGGTGACAGGCATAGAGGTTCGGAAACGTGCAGGAAGGCGAAGGAAAGGGGCCGAGCTTTACCAAGGGATAGGTGATGATGAAGGCCACCCAGCCGATGAGCAGGAAGGTGCTCAGGATGATGGTAGCGATGTCCTTGAGCATGGAGTCCATGGGGGCCTCGGGCCTGGAGGGGGCATGAGCTAACTTCTCCCCCACATCCTGAGAAACGGTGGTGGGCGCGTTCTCTGAAGTCCGGTCAACCAGGTGGATAACCTTGTATGGGAGAGAGCAGTTACATCACTGCAAAATTTCCAGCAAGATATAAGTGAGCCAATCAAGAGAAGCACTGACAATTCATAAGCAAGGGCCATACCATGAAATGTGTTGGAATTTTTTAAGCCCACCCAAAGAGCACAAGGCCAGACCATCGCTGCCTTTCCCAAAGCAACTGCCTTGAGGTGAATTATTGCTGTGATGTTATTACTCAAGAACAGTTTTTAGAGCAACACATTTGAAAGTGCCTTCAGATCCTATATTCTTTCAAAAATCCTCAATAAAGGCAAAAACGTCCTCCTTTGATAAGAGACATTTAATAGTTACGGAAACTCTGAAATCATCTATAGCAGAGTCTGGAGAAACGATCGGTAGCCCATGTGGAAACGTCATTTCAAATAAAAAAGGAAAACCACACAAACACATATGTGCATGCATACACACACGTGGCTATAAAGTCAAAGAGCAGCTTTCTTGTGTTGTTTGTAACTTTCAGTGGGACTCCAAAAACGAGTATTTATTTGAGTATTCCTCTATTTTTCTAAGTTTTTGAAAAGCATCAGGACCTTTTGTTAAAGAAAATTTTATTTAGAAGCCCCCAATTAAATCAGATAAAAGCAGAGCTTCTGTCCAAGCTCCTCAGAATCTCTAGGACTTCAAGCATGGTTTAGAAAAATGTGCTATTCGGTCATGGACCTCAGTGGTCCAGGTGCGCGCTGTGTGTGCAATGAAATGAACACACAGCCTCTGCAGCGGGCGCAGGGCCAGCAACCCCCACACGCTCACACCTCTCACCCCCTCCCAGACTTCTGCCTACAGTGCCCTTCTCTCCCCCTCCAGTTGCCTCCCTCCCACCATGTACGTCATGGCTGGGGTGTAGCTGGCAGCTGAGGAATGTCTGCTGAGCATGTGACCAGAGACAACACTCATTTGGTTATATTTGCTCAAGTGTGTTCGTTAAAAACAGTTAAGTCTTATTACCACATAAATATACCTCAGGAGTTTAATGGACTTTTAGAAGATTCTTTGTTCAAGATTGGACGATTAAATATGAAAATCTCAACTGTGGCTATTTCTGGGTGTCAGATTGAGGGTCTGCAGACATGGACTCCCTTGCTCAGTCGCCTGTGAGCTCTAAAGGCAACGGCCAATGCCTTATCCCCCAACGCCTGGCAAGAAGAGCCGTAACTGTCCACTTGCCCACTCACTTCCTCAAAGCTCTTTTTCTCTGAGTCGGCAGGAATCACATTTTCCCGGTGTTTGGGCAGATTGTTGGGGAATCTCTCCAGCATCTTGGTAGACGCAGACAGCGGTGTTTCATGGTGCCCTAGGAGAGGAAACCAACCTTCATGAGAACAGCGTCCGAGTGCCGGCAGCATTCGATGCCAAGCTCAGGCAGCAGCTGCTGCCCACCGAGAGGTCCACAATGCAAACACCCACATTTGTAAAGGGAGAGAACAGGAGAGGCCGCTGCCAGAACTTTCTCATCAACATAGGCATTCTGTTACTTAACAGCACATACACAGTATTCTGAATCTCATGAGGAGCAAGAAGTCTCCTTGTCATGAGAGGAATCAGGATGTTGGGGATCCATTCCAGAGCAAGACTTGTGTGTGTGATTCCTAACAGCTTGTCCACTGCTGAAACATGAAGCTTTGCTTAAAATTCAAGGAGTTCTCCCTTCAGCACCTACCCTGTAGCATCACTCCCCTGAGAGCATCAACATCCCACCTGGGTAGTCACACTGCTCGGGGAGCTCTATCCCTACTTCTGTCCTGGAAGCGGTGAGCTACTCACGAGGGAGCAAAGGCCATGTCTGCTAGAGGGACAGGGGGTCACGCGCTCTCAGCGTTCATTCACTGTTCTCCACGCAGCCATTTCATGACTACAGTCTTCGTTACACATCACTGAGCATCTACTGTGTGCAGATCTGGTCTCCGTGAGAACAGACAGGAACGTGTCAGGGTGCCGACAGCCCAAGGGGAGAGGTGAACTGGCTCTTTTGGGTGGTGCGTGGAGTCATTTAATTTTAGAGCCAAACAGATTATCAAGCAATATCAAATCTCAGTTTCTTATTTTATTCAACCTTATCTCTCTTATGGTCATAAAAACTGAGTAGACTTGTCATTTTAGTGGCCTCTGCTCATCAGCTATTTTTCCCCTTACTCTGGGTCCATTCACCCAGGTTTTCCAAACTACTTCTGTGAAAAAAAAAGATAGAATCATTTTGTGATCTCCTTTGCCCATTATTTAGTAAAAATAACTGAAAGAAAAATGGCTAAAAGGAGTCAGGATGAACACAGAAGAATGAGAGCTGGACAGCTACAAAGGGAATGATCAGGGCTCGAGTACCCAGTTTCCTCTCTCCACACCCAGTTCCACTGCTGGGCAGACCCAGCCTCCAAGCCCCTGTGCACTCTGGCAACCCCCACTTCCCTCCTGTGGCCTCCCCGCCCATCCTGCAGACCCACCTCTCAGAACTGGGGTGGGAGACCAGGACAGGCAACTCAGGTTCATGAAAACTGTCCTACTGTAATTACTTGGGACACTTGCCAGAGACACAGCTCCTCTCACCTCTGCCTTCGTTTATCACACTCACTGCCTTTGGGTGTCATCTCGATTTCTTATCTGGCTGGCTGAGAGCAGAAGAGAAGGGAAAATGATC